CAATGCAACACACTCCCAGCATTGCATTGGAACGTCGGCCGAGACTATATAGACTCAAAAATCCTGACACAGGGCTTGAACTGGCAACCTTCTAACATTTCAATGTACCGCTCGAGAAAAATAACAGTATCAAATTCCTTACGATGGGAGCACTGTTTTAAGTGGGATCTTGGAAGCAAACTAGTTGAATTACAGATTGATTTTCTTTCTCGCAAATGGCTGGAGCAACGTGAAGACAGGCGTCCTCTATTCTATTTCACGTCACGTGTCGAGACTCTTGTATTGTGCCGTTAGGCGCAAGGGATGTAATTCTTATTTCATCCCATTTGGTGGGTTGTTAACATCATTATATCTGTGTAGCTGTCCTGCTAGCTCGATGCAATGTCGTTAAAGAGGAAGGTTTTTTTATTACTTGATCCGACGAAGCAGATGTCATTTACACGGTTCATTTACTGCGTCAAGTGGCGGTGTGAAGGACAGCCCACGCACGCAAGGCATTGGAAGGGCATACCCATCACGTCTTACAGTAAGCCTTCCAAACACACTCAGGGCAGTACTCTGCCCCCACCCCCTACAGCCGACTTTCCGCCTTAACCGTTTTGTCACACACTGTCCGCAGCTCTTCTTTGATCATTCAAAATGCTTTCAAAAGTTGGTTAAAGATAATAATAATAATCCTTCATTTGATACAGCGTCTTATCACGTCGTAGAGTCACTGTGTGTTTTGTGGTCGAAAGATATGTTGATGTTGCGGGCTGATGTTAGAGATTAAATGCAATCTGGTTGTCATTTTAATACTGTACTAGATCTTTCAAATATGGGACCTTTAATCTTTAAGCTCTCTGCTTTATTGTTGCTGGTTCCTCCCTCCCCACCTCCGGTGCTCATCATTGCTCTTCTGAATTTTCCTCTCTTATTCCTCCCGAGCTCCAAATCCCCTGTCCTAGCCTTCTTCCTCCTCCCTGCATCCTCACTGTGTTGAAGTCAAGGCTCATCACATCATCTTTTCTAACTCATTCATCTCCCTCACTCTTCCCTTCCTCCTACACTCTACAAAGCCTCCTCACCTCCCTCAGGCTTCCTTTCCTCCTACACTCTACAGGCTTTTAAAAGCAAATCTTTGGTTGACTTAACCAAAGCTTCTTGATTTAGTTCATCTTCCCTCCTACTTTTTCCATTAGTGGTGGCTTTATGCACATGCCTAGCCTGTCTTTGCTTACTTAACTTACCTGCTACTGTGTCACTGAGCGGAGGCGGTGACCAGCCCTTGAATGGCTTTCCTGGCATTGCCAAACGCAGCTGGTCGCCCTCTTCTGCGGCAGGTTGGCTCAAGGTAGCAGGAGTGCCGAGCCAAGACTATAGAAATCCCATTCACCACAACTAAGGCAGCGTTGAGTGATTAGCTGGAGAGGTGCTCACCTCATTGTTATATTTTAATGCCGTTTTATGTCCCTCTTTAATGAGAAAAAGCTGGAGCAGAGTCTAAATTACTGAAAGGTTTCTCAGCGCACACGTCTAATTGCAGACTAATTAAACTCTCCCTGTAAATCCTGCAAAAGGTAATCCTTTCTGTTCTTTAGCTGTAAGGCTGATATTTAAGAGCAAAATAGTTTCTTAGTTTCTGTTCTGAGCTCCACCTGTTCTGGCAGCGTTGACTCACCCAAGGCTGTTTTTCGTGGCTGATTTTTGGTGGTTGTGTTTCACCTCAGGTATCGAGCACAAAACCAGCCAACCAGGAACGCTTAGTCCATCACACAGGGTCCTTCCAGCTCACAGGTGCCAAAAGTCACCTCCCCCTCCGACCCCCTCGGCTCAGCATCATGTTCCGCCCCTGTCGTACCTTAGGTCGTACCTTTCTCACCGTCATCACTTTGTCTCGACGATTGGCTTCTCCTCCACCCCCCGTACTGTCTCATGTGGAGTCCCTCAGGGCTCTGTCCTCGGTCCCCTCCTCTTCACCCTCTATATGCTCCCCCTGTGGTGACATCATCCGCAGACATGGAGTTAACTTCCACATGTATGCGGATGACACCCAACTCTACCTTTCCTCCTCTACTCTCAACTCCACGACCACCGATGTCCTGACAGCTGTCTGTCCGACATCGAGTCCTGGACGAGAGACTACTTTCTTCAGCTCAACGTGCGAAAAACCGAGGCCCTCCTGATTGGCTCACGTCAGCGCCTCCGCACCTCAGGCGCCGACACCATCAGCATCCAAGGCTGCACTCTCCACCTCTCAAAGCCAGTCAGGAACCTCGGCGTTTTGTTCGACCCTGAGCTGTCCTTTCTCCCTCACATCCGCACCACAACTGGCACCGCCTTCCATCACCTCCGGAACATCGCCAGACTACGGCATTACCTCACCCCTCACGCGGCTGAAACTCTGGTCCACGCCTTTGGCACCTCAAGGCTGGACTATGGGAACTCTCTCCTCGCCGGCCTTCCCGGCCCTCCCTCCACACTGCAGGTCATTCAGAACTCTGCAGCTCGTGTACTGTCCCGCACCAGACACCGCGACCACATCACTCCCACCCTCGCTCGCCTCCACTGGCTCCCCATCCCCCAGAGGATCGAATTCAAGATCCTCATCCTCACCTACAAGGCCATTCACGGCCTCGCTCCCTCCTACCTCTCCGACCTACTATCCCCCTACCTACCTGCCCGTACCCTCCGTTCCTCCGGCTCCGGTCTGCTCCACGTCCCCCGCCCCAATCGCCCTACCATTGGTGGTCGGGCCTTCAGCCTCTCAGCCCCGAGGCTCTGGAACTCTATCCCCCAGTGCCTTCGCCGCTTCCTCCCTTTCCTCCTTCAAGGCCGGTCTCAAAACCTTTCTCTTTGACCGTGCCTTCAGCTCCCCTCTCGACTCTCTTCCCCCGTCTCGCTCCCTCCCATCCTGGAGTCCTGTAGCTCAGTGGTTAGAGCACTCGCTTTGCAAGTGAGAGACCTGAGTTCAATTCCAGGCAGAGGGCGAAACCTTGGGCAAGTTTCCTTACTCCACACAGAGCCTAATAATAATCCCTCCAAAAACCCCAAACAATAATAAATTGGTCATTTTCAATCTACGACTGTTTGTGGGACATTGCTGTGCGCAATTGGCTGCCGCGTTCGCCCACAAATATACAGTCAATTCACTTTACAGTGTGTTCTGTGAAGCGCTTTGGGACGTCCTCCCGACGTGAAAAGCGCTATATCAAATGCAAGGATTATTATTATTATCCCTCCCCTCACCCTGACCATTTCCCCCCTCCTCGCTCCCTCCCCTCCCCTGACCATTTCCCCCCAATGCTCGGGTCATGACCCAACTGTGCAGCGCCTTGGGACGTCCTCCTGACGTGAAAGGCGCTTTATAAATGGAATCTTGTTGTTGTTGTTGTCAAACGCTCTGGGATTCTGCCCTGCGTGAGGGACGATATAAGCTGTTGTTTGGGTATGAACATTGAAACATCTTTGCCTTTGATGAATTCCCTGTGAGATGCCTCATTGATCAGTAGCTTTGCTCAGAAGGGAATGGACTTCAACCCTCTCTGGCCTCCTGTGCCAGCAAATAGAAAGAGAAGGCAAGAAGAGACTATATAGTAAAATGCCTTATTCTATAAACATAATCCACTTTGTTTCCCTCCTGAAGCGCTGCCTCATGCAAGTCTATGGTTTTACACAACATAGCCGGTCTGAACTGTCGATAGAATGAACAGGTGTAACAACTGAGTGCCCAACCTTATAATAATAATAATCCTTGTAGCTGACATAGCACCTTATCACGTCGTTGAGTCTTCTCATAGCGCTTCACGGGATATATCGTAAATTTAATTGACTATTTTTGTGGGCGAAGTGTGGTTAGTCTATCCTCTCCCCCACCCAACGACATACAGAGATGATGAACAGTGACAAGAGAAACTTTCAAATCTCGCCAAGGCTGGTAAATATTTTGCCATACAACAAAAGCTTCAGTAAAACCAACAGTTCATTTTGTTTCTGGAAACGAACAAAAAAACCTTTCAGAATAATGGAACAACAACAACAAGAACACCAAGATTCCATTTATAGAGCGCCTTTCACGTCGGGAGGACGTCCCAAGGCGCTGGACAGTTGGGTCAGGACCCGAGCATTGGGGGGAAATGGTCAGGGGGAGGGGAGGGAAGGGAGGGGGCGAGGAGGGGGTAGAGAGTCGAGAACAATCCTGGTGCCAGGTTGCTTTGGAGCAAGGCATGTTTTATGGCACCTCGTCTGGGTGTGAAAGTAACAACCTGTCTGTCTGTCTGTCTGGAGAAGCTAAAGCACGGAATGAATTTAAGGGTGTCTTTAATTACACCTCCTGAGTCTACAGAAGCCAATCTCGACTGTTTCCTGTCCTGCTTTTAAAGGGACGCTGACCTCGGGAAAGTTTTTTGGCTAGATAACTGGGGAGCGTCCCTCCAGGGAGAGAACGGACATTTTGTTTCAGACACAGAGAAATTTCCATGTGAAGGTGGCATACATGTGTGGAACGCAGTCTGTTGTGGATATTAATAATAAATCTTGCATTTGATGAAACCCATTATCACATCGTTGAGACGTCTCAAAGCGCTTCACAGAATATACTGTAAAGTGAATAGACTGTATATTTTGTGGATGAAACTAATATTAAGTATGGTGATGGGTTTCCGCACGTGCCACTGACATAACAAAGTACCTAACGTCTGCTGATCAGTGGTTTAAAAAAAACATTTGTACAAAGACTTTTACATTTACCTTTCCCCCCCCAAAAACTGGCACATCAACATAAAAGGATTACAAGAGATTTAACATTATTAATGAAGGTGTTTAATCCCAGATCTTGTTTTTTTAAAAACAATTCTGTCCAGAAGAAATTAGAGGATTGTCATCTTCGTAAGAGTAGAGCTGATATAACATGATGTTTGTCAGAAGAGATGGAGATTGCTGACGCATCTGGTCCAGGAAGTGTTGCGAGCAATTGTATCACCTACTTTCCTGCTGCTGACGTTTCTCTCTTCCCTCTGTAGTCTCAGGCCGCAGGCGGAGGGCGCAGTGATATTCCCTTGAAGCCAGAAGAATACGTAATTGGTGAGAATACAGGTAAGAGCCAGGGGAGCGCTGTGTCGTCTCTAGTAGAACCATTCGTTCACTCATTCAGCCATGCATCCAGTCGCAGAGATAATTAAACACGATTACAAACGTTATTGCGATCGATATTGTGTAACTGCTTCACGCAATAGTCCAGCAACTCAGATGTGTAGCTTGCTCCCAAGTGTCAAAAGTGTCTTATTTTCACAGCTTTGAAATTTAGGATTGAAAAGGTCCCCTTGAGTGCATTGTGTGGGCGAGAGTGAGCTCTGCTACACAGCGTGGGGCTTGGGTCTGAAATAGTAATTTAACCCCGTATAGACTAGCTATACTGTCAGTCACCTCTTACCTGGAATCCGGTCTAGATTAAGGGTGGGGGGGGGGGGGCGCGGGAGAGGAGCCAGGAAGTGGCAGATAATCTGGCAAAGTGAACAGAATAAGCATTTTTTTAGTTTAATTCACCAATCCACCAATTACAAACTAACTTTAGAGGCTGGTGGTGAAGTGAGCACTTGTAAATGCAGAGTTTGGTAACACTTTGTATGCCAAGACCTAGTTACAGTTTTACGACGGTCCTTTTGGTTTATGGCCAGAGCACAGATCAGTGAATAAACCCTTTGTGCCCCATCGACACCTCGCTTCTCCTTATCTTTTCGCTGCCAGCTCACACTCCCATCACTGGGTGGAAACGCGCACATTGTGATTCACTGTTTGATTGCCAAAGCGAGCCATCAGTTTTTGACTTGCTTATATTTGCAACTTCCCGTGCGAAACACGCTATGAAAAGATGGCTCGAGTTAGCAGTGGCCACACATGTCTGTGCCCGTGTTAAGCCGGTTACATCTGTCACACTGTCAAATCATGACAGTGAAAAGGAGACTGTGGGGGAATCATTTTAACAGTCATTATAACCTTGCCCTGGGGATGGTGACCTCCTGTTGCCCCGCAGTCAGGAAGGACACTGGCGAGCTTGCCACTTTGAGCCCATGCTGTCCAGTTTTTGTTCAAGAAAAGCATTAATCCTTTTTTTGCAACAATCTAATTTGTGTTATTTCTTCCTGTTTAGTTTTTAAGAATAAAAGGGAAAAAATTTAGGTTGGCAGTAAAATGTACCTCTCGATAGCACCAATCACCCCACCGACCTCAACACCCCAACCCGCCAATTTTCTATTGGCCCTGGTTATCACTTTACCGCAGTAAAAGCCTATTTTCCTCTCATTTCAGTGGCACACAAGGTTGGATCGTTCCGCTCTGAGCTCTCAAAACTGGTGATAGTCGCTCACTCAGCGCACGATGAACTCTGATTGAAACAAAGTTACTTTTGTGAAATATTTTTTCAGCAAATGGTTGAAAGTCGGTTTCGGAACCTGGGAAACATTAAATGGCATCTTTGCATTCTCTGCCTGTGATTATTTTCTCCCTTTCCCCCTTCTTTATCAATCTCTACGCCCAGAATCCCCAGCCTCCGCAAGGCAGTGGGATCATCTAGTCTACAGCCCTACACGTCTTTGGGTGGTTTGAGGCCTGAACGGTGAGGCAAGATGGATAGCCTTGCTGCTGGAGCGCTTGGATCACCAATAGATGCTTCATGCTTCATCTACTGCCCCGTTTGAGACCCGAGCAAGAAAAAAAATAACTATTTGAGGTTCACTTGAGGCTGAGATTTGAACTCTGACCCTCCACACTTTTAACCCCTTGACTGCTAGGCTGCGCTGACAACCAAAATACCAGTTTGCAGTCTACACCTGAATTTACACCGATTGATTGCAAGCTGTGAATCGGGAAGAAAAGTGTGATCAACTTGTATCCTTTGGAGACAGATTTGTTCTCGATTACGTGCAAGTTTCTCAATGATGCAGTCTCAATGATGCTGCAGTACAGTGTTCTCCAACTAGTTTGACATTAGGGACCAGCTCAGTCTCTTAAAAGGTGGTGGGCGGTTAGTCAAGTGAGCTCCTCGGGTCACTCAGTCTACAGTCATCTCTAGTGTACAGACACCGTTAGTCCTTGGAGAAGCACTGCTGTACAGGAAAGTCAACACAACACTGATTTCTGAACCGAGAATATATGCCAAAAATATTTGGGAAACGTAAAACATTTATAGAATCATACAATCTTGCAGCTCAGAATGAGGCCATTCGGCCCATTGTGCCTGTGCTGGCTCTTTGAAAGAACTGCCAACTAGCTGCACTCCCCCATTTTTACTCCATAGCTCTGCAAATTTTTCCTTTTCAAGGACCTATCCAATTCCCTTTTGAAAGCTACTATCAAATCCACTTCCACCACCCCTCCCCCTCCCAAATAAGATTGTGTCTCCAAATTAACTTTGGGCTTTGATGTGGTTTTCTTTAGAAATGAGAAAGTTATTCATACACAGTGATTTTTAAATCAAATGCAACCTGGAGGTTTAATTCGCGGGAATAATAAATACTTTTGTAGATGCTACATTGCCAGTTTTGATTTATTTTCGTTCCTGGGCCTTTCTTTCATAATCCCAATGAGATTGTATAACCAAATGGCTGTGTACTTTGGGTGTACCTTGCACTGTGACTAGGACTGTATGTCCCTGTACTATTTACTGTTTGCCTTCTACTCTAAAATATCCTTCATGTGAAGTGTTGTTTTCAATCATTTGTTCCAGAACAGTTACAAAGAGAAATAAATTGCTATAGTAAACTCTTAATTAATAGATCATTTGTGTATAACTTTACCATGGAACAAAGAAAGAATTCTTACAGTGCTTTATTTTGTCCGAATCTTTCAAAGCGCTTCTTATGTAATTACTGTCAAGTGTAGTGACTGTGTGGCCAGGGGAGAAAGTGATCGAGTCTAGGAATGGACCTCAAAAAGTTGTAAAGTTTCAGGGCTAAGATTATGTTTTGAATCTGCTGCGCAAGTCTGTGTGTTTCTTAGTTGGAACTGGTTGCAAAATCTTATCTTTAAAAGGGAAAATTAATTAATGGGGTTAGGACGGATGAACAAAATCTTGCCAGTGATTGTTTTCTTGTGATCCTGTGCTTTGACCCAGGCCGAGTCTCGAGTCTCATAATCTAGGCTGATATTCCAATACTAGAGTAGTGGTGCTTTGCATTGTCAGACCCATTATTTGGAAGGAGAAGGGAGTCCTGGTCAACCACTCCCCAGATACAAATGGTCATTCATTCCATGGATGTTAGTGGGACATTGCTGTCCAAGCAACTGGTTGCCACACTTGCCTACAAAATATACAATCACTGCACTTACCAGTAGATCCTACGAATCGCTTTCAGGCATTTCTACAACGTGTGACAAACTAATGACAAATGTAATTGCTGTACTTGCCTCAAAAGAGCTTCACACAAATTGGAGTTAGCTTTGGTGGTTAGACAGGTAAACGCAGCAGCTAAATCTGCACCAGCAATGTCCCACACTCGGCAATAAAATGAAACGCACTTTCTCACATGGCATGGAGTCCCGTGGTGTAGTAGTCAGCGCACTCGCCTCGCAAGTCAGAGGATCTGGGTTCGATTCCCGGGTGGGGCGAAACCTTAAGCAAGTTTTGCTTATTCCATGGGCCTCTGTTTATTTAACAGTAAGCAGGAAACCGATTGTTGGTCGATTGACGGATCGTTTTCCTAATAATCACTCCAAAAAATGAATAAAAATAATAATTTGGTACTCAATCCACAACTGCTTGTGGGACAATGTGGTGCGCAATTCATTGTCGCATTTCACCCACAAAACACACAGTCAATTACTTTAAAGTGGATTCTGTGAAGCGCTTTGAGACATCTCGACGATGTCATAAGGAGCTTTGTCAAATGCAAGGTGTTATTGTCCTTATTATTGAGCACATTTCAATAGATTGAAAAGAAAATACTGCTTGAAATCTGAAAGTAAATTTGGTGTCGTAGTGGGGTGGCAACATCTGAAAGAGAGGTCCCAGTAGGTGAAACATTACGATAGCTTGTCAAATTAGTGCACATCATTCTATCATTTCCTATTTTTATTACCAATTAATTGAATGGTCCATAATGTTAACGCCTATTAGCTGAACAAGGCATTAGGTAGTGAAGCATTGCGAAACCATTTAAAATCAGATGAGAGGATGATGTATCTGGATTTGATTATGCAGCACTGATTTAATATTCAATGGCCTCCAATTCCCTAGCGACAATTCTCAAAGCTAACCTTTCCCAGCACAATTTCAAAGAACGCGAGATATAATGATAATAATAACCTCACGTTTGCTACAACTCCTATATAACGGAGGCCTTAGCTTAGTGGTTAGACCTGGGTTTGATTCCCGGGCAGGGCGAAACGTTGGGCAAGCTTCCTTATTCCACAAGCCTCTGTTTACCTAGTGGTAAGTAGGAATCCGGTTATTAGTCGATTGGCAAATTGCTTTTCCGGGGGTAATAATCCCTTGAAAACAAAAAGAAATTTAAAAAATAATAATTTGGTCACTCAATCTGCGACTGTTTGTGGGACACTGCTGTGCGTAATTGGAGTGTTTTGCCCACAAAATATACAGTCAATTAACTTGATAAGACGCTATATCAAATGCAAGGATTGTTATTATTATATAATGTCAACGTCTCAAAGTACTTGGGTAGGGAAGTGCTGTAGATTACAGCGACTGTATAGTTGTAGGTGTGAAATGAAGCCATGAAGTGAATGACCAATCTGTCTGGAGTAATTTTGGGCAGGACACCAGGAGAGGCTCCTTTCTCTTTTCGGAGAGCATCTCTTTACATCCACCTAAAAGGGCATACAGGTGGGACCGAAGGTTAGTCCATCACTTTGGGATAGCTGGAGACAGAGGTGAGTAACACTTTGCGGAACAGTTTTTGTTGTTGCCCGAGGCCATGTGGGAGGGAAAGTGAAAGAAACAAGACAATACTGGCAGCCCAGTAAGTCTCTTAATATACAGGTTTCTCGGCTAGTTTTCCATTGATACTTTTTGAAAATTTGGCAGCACTCACCTGCCTGTGGTTTCCTCTGTCTTACTGATCTCAGCAGTCCAAGGTGACAGACAGACAGACAGACAGAGAGCCTGCGGAAGAGGTGCCTGGTTTGAAATTCATTGAAATTCCCTCCAAACAAACGTCAAACCGTTGTCGATGTGGACTTTCTCAGCGTTGGCCTGGGATTTGTTGGCCGTGATTTTGTACAGGGCTTTGTGTTGATGGCAGTGGAGCTTTCCCCAGTATCGCCAGGCATGGGGGGCCGAATTAGATGGCACGGGGGCTCCTGTGAGTTTGTGAGGCAGTGTGCCTGACCAATGCACGTGTCCCTCTGCTGAACAGTGACAGTGGAGCCAGGGCGAAGCACACAGTTTGAGGAAGGCTGGGCAAAGTGACCGGAGTTGACCATTGGCTGCCTATGTACTCTGTCTTTCATTTGAGGCTGCGTTAACCAAGTTGGACAATTGATATCCAGACTGCAAGCTGCTTTACTGCCCAAACGGTGATCTCTCGGAGGATGGGTCCCATGAACCAGGGTCCCATTGCTTTTGTGACTCTCGTTGGCACATGATGACCTCGGTAGACTAGTCACCCTGACTGGTGTTCTCCTGGGTGGTGGGGGCGGAGGCTTGGATTTGCGGAGAACTGTCAGGATTGCTCCCTCTTTCCTCGGCCGATCTTTGTGCTTCTCCAGTGTGGACATGGCCACTCCACTGGAGCTGCTGTCCAGTGTGTCGCTTCGGTAACTCTCGCTCTTGTCCTCGCACAGGTTCAGGTCAGAGGTCAGATGGTCTATTTGCCCCACCACCTGTTTGTAAGTGAAGACAACACCACTTTTAGTTGCATTTGATCTCTAACCTTGCAATAGAGATACATAGAGTGATGTAGCACAGAAAAGGCCATTCACCCAACTAGTCTGTGCTGGTGTTTATTCCCCACACCAATCCCACCTTCTCTCCTGCACCCTTGCAATCACACAGTCTAAGCTGACACTCCAGTGCAGGGCTGGGGGTGAAAAAAATGCAAGGGGTGTGTTGCATTGTTAGAGGTCGTGAGAAATCAGCTAAATCCAGCCAAAACCAACTCAGGGTAAAGCAGCTGAATGTTAATGCTGAGTGACTACAGACCTCTCTGTACTGCTCTGCCCCTCAGACACTTCCTCTGTGTGAACAGCAGCTCATTGTGAAGGTGGCGTACAGCTGAGAAGATGACAGGAAGGACCATTAAACACTACAAGTTGCTTGTAAGCACTACAAAATGCTGGACTCGTCTGAAAGGCGGCATCTCTGACGATGTATTGCTCCTTCAATGATACGGAAATGTCAGCTCATCAAAGCAACTGACTGGAAATTGCCCCCTGTGGTAGCGTTTGGTTATAAAACGTCTTCACTTTCCTCTCAGCTCTGGGTTGCAGATGCTTTTGCAGAGAGCTCCACTGTCTCACACTCACTTTAATGATCTATTTTCTCTCTTCCTTCCCCCTCCCCAACCCCCACATAGCTCAAATGTGTTTGGTTTCTTTCCCATCTAATGGGCGATGGCTCAGCTCACCTTCCTGGGTTAGCAAGGGTGAAATCAGCCGCGGATCCTGATCCTGATCCCATGCCCCCTGCTGGATTTTGTAGTAGTGAGAACGTCAGGTGAGGATAAATTGGAGCTCGACAGGTCCCTCCCCCGCGCTCCCTCCCAAAACACATACACGTCGTGTAACCTGCCAGCACTGGCTGTAGCACTTACGCAGGAATATGGCTGTTGGGGCAAGGTACCCTAGACACCCTTCGAACTATTCCCCACTAGAGGGAAAATTTAATCAAAATTTATGATAATCTTAACCATTGTCTTTCATGTTGAGGGAGGGATGTACAAGCACTTCACAGTAAAGAAGTCGTTGGCCAACCTGTGGCCCCCGTGCCGGAAGTGGCCCGCGGAGCGTCAAGAAGGCTCCAAACCCTTCACCCGAACATTCGCCCGATCGTTCGTCCGTGTTCGATCGGTAGGTAGTGTGTTTTCAGTTTTATCGTTGATTGCATATTTCGGGATTTATGGCCCAAATCAAGAAATATTCAATCCACAAAATGTATTTTGTTGGCCGACCATATAGGTTTCCCACCACTGATATAAAGTGTGTCGACTGCATTTTGCAGTGAAACGCAGCACCAATTTGTGTACAGCAACGTCCCCACAAACAGCAAAGACCAATTCCATTTGAGGGATGGAACTCCCTTTCTCTTTTCTTTAGAAACCTAGAGTCCTGTAGCTCAGTGGTTAGAGCACTCGCTTTGCAAGTGAGAGACCTGAGTTCAATTCCAGGCAGAGGGCGAAACCTTGGGCAAGTTTCCTTACTCCACACAGAGCCTAATAATAATCCCTCCAAAACAAAACAATAATAAATTGTTCATTTTCAATCTACGACTGTTTGTGGGACATTGCTGTGCGCAATTGGCTGCCGCGTTGCCCACAAATATGCAGTCAATTCACTTTACAGTGTGTTCTGTGAAGCGCTTTGGGACGTTCTCCTGACTTGAAAAGCGCTATATCAAATGTAAGGATTATTATTATTATTATTAAACCGGAGGAGGCCATTCAACCCCTCGAGCCTGTTCCACCCTTCTATTAGATCATGGCTGATCTGTACCTCAACTCCAATTACCTGCCCTTGCCCCGTATCCCTTGATCCCATTACTTAACTTCCATCTATCCATTCAGTCTTGAAAATGTGAATGGATTCAGCATCCACAGCCTTTTGGGGGAGAGATTTCCAGATTTCCACTACCCTTTGGGTGAAAAACTGCCTCCCGATTTCACTCCTAAATGGCCAAGCGCTAATTTAAGATGATGCCCCCCTTTGATCTGGATTCCCCCACCAGAGGAAATAGCTTCTCTGGTGGGGGAAGATGGCAGATGGAACCTCGGCTTAGCGTCTTATCCGAATCGCGGTTACGATTCAGGAGTCGGGGGGGGGGGGGGGAAATGTTGGGGAAAAAATATCTGCTGCCAAACACCTAATAGGATTGTACTCTGGCCACAGCCTCTGTGTTCACTTCATACACACATCAGTCAGAGCACAGTGAGCAGACACCTTAAAGCTCTACATACTGATTTACAGCTTGCATTCTGCCACTCAGCTCCCGCTCAGCTGAGTAATGGAAGCTTTGTCACCACATATTTCACTGTAAGTAGGTAGTAATTTCACTGTAATATATATTAGGCTCTTAATTCTATTAAAACTCTGCGTTCAAACAGCAAACTAATTCCTCTAATGTACTCCCCGGTGAACTCCACCATACTGCAAGGATTATCAGTCTCTGAATCAGAGTAATTTCATCTTTAATTCTCATTAATGGCCTCTCATTTTATTGAGCCTTTGATCGGGTTGGATCCTATAGGACTGTTCATTTTGAGCGAAAGCTGCACGCTTAAAGCACGCTTGAGCAGGAAATCGTGGGATGAAAATTTATTGTGTTCCCTTAAGAGCAAATGAATAATAATAAAAAATATATAATCCTCACACTTGGTACATCAGGAGGATGTCACAAAGCGCTTTGCAGGATTTAATGGGAAATTGAGTGACTGTTTCTAGGCAAATATGACAGTACACTGTCCCACAAACAGCCATGAATCGAATGACTAGTTTTATTTGTGGGATTGTCAGACAGGACAGTGTTGTCGAACTAATCATAATAATAATCGTGATAAGGCGCATTTGATATATAGCGCCTTATCAAGTCTTCGAGATGTTTTAAAGCGCTTCACAGTAAAGTGAATTGACTGTATATTTTGTGGGCGAAACTCAGCAGCCAATTGCGCACAGCAGCGTCCCACAAACAGTCGTGGATTAAGTGACCAAATTATTATTTAAAAATGATCTGCCAATCGACTAACAACTGGGTTCCTACTTACTGCTAGGTAAACAGGCGTGTGGAGTAAGGAAACTTGCCTAAGTTTTCGCCCCTCCCGGGAATCTAACCCGGGTCCTCTCACTTGCGAGGCAAGTGCTCAAAACAATACACCACCGGACTCTAGAAGAGGATCCATGAGAGAAGGTGAGAAAACTGTGGTAACAGAGACCAGTTTACGTTAACACCAAGAGCCTCATACTTTTAATTAAAATATACATTATTCCACATTTACAGCCAAAGTAAATCGTTGAGGTGTCTCAAAGCGGCTCATAGGATTTTTACTGTAAAGTGTAGTGACTGTGTTTCATGGCCAAAAGTGGCAGCTGATTTTTGCACAGCAATTTCCCATAAACAGTCACTGCGCTTTACAATAAATCCCCTGAAGCACTTTGAGGTATCCACCCGAAGAGAAAGCCGCTATATCAAATGCAAAGATTATTAATATTATTTAGTCATTAGATGTGCAGAGATCTTCTACCCGACTCCCAAACCCTTCAGTGCGATTTGCCTCTCTCCTACCCCCCCTTTGTTGTATAAGTGATATCTCCATCCGAGGAGCCCAAACACCAGCTATCAAACACCAGCTGGGTCCCCCCCCCAATCATCTAGAAAACCTTAGGCAAGTTTCCTTACTCCACACGTTTCTGTTTACATAGCAGTAAGTAGAACCCAGTTATTAGTTGATTGGTGGATAGCTTTCCAGGGGTAATAATCCCTTCGGAAAGAAAAATAATAATAATTTGGTCACTCAATCCACAACTGTTTGTGGGACGCTGCTGTGCGCAATTGGCTGCCGCGTTTCGCCCACAAAATACACAGTGAATTCACTTTATAGTATATTCTGTGAAGTGCTTTGAGACGTCTCGAAGACATTATAAGGCGCTGTATCAGATGCAAGGATTGTAATCATCAGATCACACCTCTGCGCACCTGTGATGACTCAAAGGGTAATAGCGTTTATCGATAGTGTGTTTCCATCACCTCAGCTGCCTCCAAGGCTCAGTGGTAATGACAGCGATGGCTGACACTGCCCAGTGGAAGGTGGAGCAGGAATCGGCTCGAGCCCACTACACAGCGAGAAAGTGCATGGCATTGATCCAAAAATTAGCTTTGTTTAGTTCTTATAGTGGGAACCTACAATCAAGGGTACTTAGTTCTAATTGCAGTGTCTATTGAATAAAGCCTCTCACATCAGCCATTTGAAATACAGTACGTTAGTAATCTGACTGCCGGCCTCCAGCAAAGTGTATCACTGGGGGTTAATTTGCCACATTCTTCCCGTTGGAAATTCCCGCAGCATTCCGGCTTGGGAATAGAGCACCTCAGAGCAGGTTTCCCGCAGGTCCATGATGTATCTCAGTGGTGGGTGGGCGAAAATGACTACGGAGGGGTTTCTGATACCCTGTCCTAAGAACATAAGAATTTGTTGGCAAAAGAAGACCAACAGCCATAATAATAATAATAATAATAATAATAATAATAATAATCCTTGCATTTGATATAGCGCTTTTCACGTCGGGAGGACGTCCCAAAGCGCTTCACAGAACAGACTGCAAAGTGAATTGACTGTATATTTGTGGGCAAACGCGGCAGCCAATTGCACACAGCAATGTCCCACAAACAGTCGTAGATTGAAAATGACCAATTTATTATTGTTTTTGGTTTTTGAAGGGATTATTATTAGGCTCTGTGTGGAGTAAGGAAACTTGCCCAAGGTTTCGCCCTCTGCCTGGAATTGAACTCAGGTCTCTCACTTGCAAAGCGAGTGCTCTAACCACTGAGCTACAGGACTCCACAATTCCGGTTCCGTCCATCCTGGCCATGGCATGGCATGTTGTTTCCAAACCCGACACTGAATCCCAACATGTTATTTCCTAACATAAATCTATGTAATTTGTTCTCGAAAGACCTGCCTAAAAGTCCCCACCTTTAAAGCTCTTCACGGTCTTGCTCCTCCCTACGTCTGCAACCGGACACCCTCTTCCTCGCCCCCTCCTTCAAGTCCCATCTCAAGAGCTTCTTTCCGATCGTGCTTTCGGTCATTTTTCTTCCTCCAGCCCCCCCCACTTGCCCTCCACCCCTCTCTGATCCCAATCCACACCTCAGGGGCAAACTCCTCATTGCTCAGAGCTTTGGTACATCCTCCTGACGTGAAAGGTGCTGTATAAGTGCAATTTGTTACTGTGATGATATTACCCTGACCCCCCTCCCCCACACATATACACCTTTCACTGACAGTGATTGGGAGCAGGAACCTAACCCAAGGGAGTTGAGGCTGATCCTGGGTTTCTGTTGCTGTCCCAGGCTGTGACTTTACCAAATAAACCATCTGGCAAGGCAGCAGCTTCTTGGTAAGCTACAGCATTGTTATTCTGTTCGTCAGTTATTATCGGCGGAGGATTCAGTTAGTAAAATGGTTGCGATTAAATACTAGCTTCGGCTCATTTGATCTCATCCTTCCAGAATGCCCACCCCACCACGTCCAGACCTCGACCACCCTCCCGATATCCCATTGGGTCCAGAGATACCCACATAATCCACAGATGTTATCCTATCAGTCTGGGCTGGATTCGAACCCAGATTCATCCTTCGGGTGAGACATAAAACCGAGATCCCATCTGCCTGCTCAGGGTTTATATATATATATATAGGTGGACTATTCAAAAAGAGAAGGGAGTTTCCTGGCCAACAATTCCCCAGATATAAATTGATCGCTCACTTCATGATTGTGGAACATTGCTGTGCGCAAATTGGCCATATATCCATTTTGAGATGTCCTGCTGCTGTGAAAGTCACCGGCTGTGTCACATGTTAAGGATTAGGATTATATTTCTGTCCTTGAGGTCCAGGGGGGGCAGAGTGTAACCCACTGGAGCATACAAGTTCCCCAGTCATATTTAGTACCATTTATCAAATGCAATTTAGTCATTTGGATGACAGTTCCTCAACCTCAAAGTGCTTGATGCACACAGTCTCCTGTGGTAAGTGGATATCCACTTATATTTCACTTACATTTCTGCTTACATTTTACAAGCAGTCTTGAAAGGGCTTCAGTCAGTATCAGTGTAATATTGCTCAGATGGCAAGGCAAGCCATTGTAATTTATTGTCATGTCCCCAGCTCTTGCGGAACTGCTACTTTCAGGGTCTTGGGAACAATGCACCTCTAAATTGCCCACATCAGCAACAACTTGCATTTACTGCCCTTCACACAGGGGAGCGTCTCGGAACACTTAACAGTGGCTATAAGCACGGTGACTGTAAGCACGGTCGAAGAGGAAGGTCTTCAGGCGTGATCTGAATATGGGGAAAGAGGGAGCAAGGCGGAGTGATTGAGCGAGAGAGTTCCAAAGTTTCGTGGTGTAGTGGCTGAAAATTGACGAGCAGGAGGCCCAAGCCAGCCAAGTGGAGGCGGTGGGTGGTGGAGTGTGGAGTGGGGATATCAGAGAGTAAAGCAATTTGTAGACGAGTGTGAAGATCTTGAAGTTGATCCATTCTGTGTGAAGGAGCCAGTGGAGCCTTGGCTAGACCTGATGTGATGAGGTTATGGAGTTTAGAACGGGTGAGCAAACGGGCAATGGAGTTTTGAATTAGTTGGATTCTGCGGAGAGAGGAACTGGGGAGACCAGCGAAGAGGGCATTGGAATAGACGAGACGGGAAGTGACGAAAGCGTGGACGACGGATTGGGCTGCGTTGAGCGTGAAATACGGTCGGAAATGGGCAATGGTGGAGGTAAGTGGTCTTGGTTAGAGACCGGATGTGGGGATGGAAGGACAGTTGCGGAACAACCCCGATGTCTAGCTCACGCGCAGGTTCGGCAAGTCTTAGGAAAGGCCGAAGAGGTTGAGGAGATCAGAACCGCAGGAGAGAATACATTGACGGGGGCCGAGGATTTTGGCTTCTGTCTGGTCAACATTCAACTGCAGGATGGTCCCGCACTTGGAACCAATAGAACTACTTCCTGTCCTGCAGTCATTGACCTTGTAATGAGAGCCTCTGCTGGCCGCGGTGATTAAACATTTGTTATTTGTGTTTGGGAATCTGCCCTCACTGCCCATGAGTGTTCCTCGTCAACAGTCTCTCTGCAGGACCCTGAGCTCAGCCAGGCTGTCATCACAATTTTCACTAAAGAAATTTTCCCGGACATCAAGCTTCCTGCGGAGGTCCGATTTGAGGACACAGCAATAAACCGTACGAGTCACGGTGCTGCCTACGTCACGGTTACAGTCTCAGTAAAACGCGGCGGCCACAGCCTGGCATTTGCTAAAGAGGCCACATCACCTGCCAAATACACAGTCACTACACGAAAGTGCTTACAGTCACTTCCCCCAACCGCTCGGGCTTGGCGTCAGACTCCGCCACTGTTAAGTGCTCCGAGAGGCTGCCCTGCGTGAAGGGCGCAGTGTAAATGTAAGTGCCGTGCCTCTGTGTTTTACTGAGACCGTAACGTGATGCCAGCAGTGCAGCCTCGTCTGGTTTATTACTCAGCTATTCCCCGTCCCGTGGAACGCATGTTAGGCCAAGGTCCCGTGTAGGGGTGGACGGGCAGATCGCTGGGGAAAGAGAAGAGAGTTTCTCCCAGGGTTTTGACTAACAGCACTGCCGAGAAAATATTCGTTCATATTCATGGCTGTTTGGGGGACTTCGCTGTGCGCAGATTGGCTGCTGACAAACAATTCCTCGCGAAGCACTTTGAGACATGTTGACATTATAAGCTGTATCAAATCCTCTATCAATTGATATTCAGCGAGGCTGAGTTAGCTGGAAGGGAAGATCAGGGAGGATGAAATCAGCCAGGCTTCCAGCTGCTGATCCCTAACCAGATGGTGTGTGAGTAGGGATCTCCGGTGGGACAGGGCGGCTCTCTCAGCTGCTACACCCTAACCCATAGACGTACATCCTGTCAGAGGCAAACCCTGCTGCTCACCAGCCAGAGGAGCCCTGAGCCACACGCAGCAGGCAGGACACAGATACCAGCTCCACCACCAGTTATTGCTCTCAGCTGGCGTTATGGTCAAGACGCTACAATCAGTCTCAGGACCAGCGCAGAGGCCGGAGGGGTGTGTGTGGGGCGGGGGGAATTGGGCGCTGTGTGTGTGGGGCTGGGGTGGGGTTGGGGAGAATCAGTCAGGGTACCAGCTCCTGATCCTAATCTACAGGCAGGACACCAGGAGAGAGAAACTCACTTCTCTTTTCAGATAGTGCCATTGCCAATGGAGTCTTTAACATCCACCTGAACAGGCACAGACGGGACCTCAGTTTAACATCTCACCCGAAGGACGGCATCTCTGACCACACAGGTCTCCCCCCAGCTCCCACCATGTGGCTGTGGGCTCAAAGTCCCGACGTTGGGGGGGCTTGAACGCACGACTTTCTGACTCAGAGTCGAGAGCTCAACCGACCGACTGAGCCTTGAACATGAGGCTGGAGTCCGTCTGCGTAACCAGCCCCCGGCAGAAGGAAAAAGGGGGGTCAGGAGGGGGAGAGGGGGAAAAACTCAAAGCAATTTTTAAATTAAAAAATATACATTTTCACTTCAATCTACATTAAAGCGAAGGGACTGTTTGAAACCAAATAACCTGCGTGTTTTTATAAACTCACTGACTCACTCACTCCCACACTCACTTATTGCCTCCTTTATTTTGGAATCACGGCATCTCCTCCCTCTCTCTCTCCTCCCCCGCTTCCCCCCCCGCAAAAAAAACACCCCCTTTTCGTTAGAAACAAACCACGAGCAACAAATACACTTCCATCAAACCTCGCAATTCACGTCCAGCGACTGAACACATCATCAGTTTAACCTGTGATTAAAGCAGAGACCAACAACTCTTATTTTCAATTTTTTTTAAAAAAGGAGAAACTTTTTGTCCCCCTCCCTTGACTTGATGGACTATTGGAAGCTTTTAGTGCAAAAAAGGATGGAGACACTCACCTCCCTCATCTCGCTGGAGACGCTCTTTAATTCTCCCAGCACTAGCTCCAAGTCTTGGACCACACACATGATCTGCTCCTTCACTTTGTACTGAACATTTCGTCCCTTTAAATCCGCTGCAGTGCTGCTGTGCTGCCTGGACATCCTGAGAGGGGATTGCCTCTGTCCAGGCTGTCTCACATTCCCAATCCCAAACCCAATCCCATTCCCACTCCTCCCCTTTGCTGCTCAGATCAGCTCAGTGCTTGCCAGGCTACCTGCTTGTTGCAGGAAGGTCCTCTCCCTCTCTCCCTGTGTGTGTCTCTCTCTCTCTCTGTTCCAGAGCAGGAGTTTCTGCTGCATATTTTAATATGCAATCAGATGGGAAGACTTCAACTCTCTTAAAGCGGCCTCACACTTGCTGGAAGCCATCAATGCTGTCCCTGCTCAATCCACCCCATCCCTAACCTACACCGTAACCAAGCCGCCTACCTTTTGGCCCCTCGTTCCTTCCTTCATTCCATCGAGGATCTTCCCATTTGCAGATCCTCTCACTCGTTTTCAAGTCCCTTCACGCCCTGGCAGCCTCCCCTGCCTCTCCGACCTGCTTACCCGCACCCACCCACTCCACTCCACAACCCGCTCCCTCCGCTCGACTGGCACTGGCTTCCCGCTTGTCCCTCTTGCCCTCCGTTCCGGCCATCGGTGGCCGTGCTTTCAGCCGCTACGCCCCGAAACTCCAGAAGGCTCTCTCCCGCAATCCCTCCGCCTTCTTGCCTCTTCGTTCAACATCTTCATGTCCCGCCTAGAAGATCTTCCTCTTTGCCCGTGCCCACAGTCACCTCCCCCCGCCTCAGCGTTGTGCTCCGCCACTCTCTGGGACGCTAACCCTACGTGAGGGGCGCTGTGTAAATGCAAGTTGTTGTTGTTTCTATCTAAAAAAAATTATACTTTCTTCTGGTAGCCCGGCAGAGCGAACAGGGCGTTTGACACCACGAAGCGCAGAAGTTGTTTGAAGTTGGCAGTGCCACTGGGTGCTGCAGGGGTTTGGATGCTGTCCTTTCACTTCTGGAGCAGTAGGAGGCGTTCTTCTGATACTTGTGGAGTCCTGTAGCTCAGTGGTTAGAGCACTCGCTTTGCAAGTGAGAGACCTGAGTTCAATTCCAGGCAGAGGGCGAAACCTTGGGCAAGTTTCCTTACTCCACACAGAGCCTAATAATAATCCCTTCAAAACCAAAAACAATAATAAATTGGTCATTTTCAATGTGCCAGGCGATAAAAGACCATCTAGTTTGCCTTCCGCCAGATCCTGGCAGTCACTTGACATGTCGTATCCCAAATTATATAGTGTATCCCCAGATATTATTTTCTAGCAGAAATTGATCTGATTCGTTCTTGAAGCAAACAACATTTTCTGCTTCCACCGTCTGTCTCCCGAGGCAGTTCTATAAGTTTTCTACTCGTTCACTGAAGTAATGTTTCCGCAGATTTGTTCTGCATTCACCCCTCTTTCAGTCACGGAACAATAGAAACAGTAGAAGGCCATTCTTCCTGAGTCCTGTAGCTCAGTGGTTAGAGCACTCGCTTTGCAAGTGAGAGACCTGAGTTCAATTCCAGGCAGAGGGCGAAACCTTGGGCAAGTTTCCTTACTCCACACAGCGCCTAATAATAATCCCTCCAAAACCAAAAACAATAATAAATTGGTCATTTTCAATCTACGACTGTTTGTGGGACATTGCTGTGCGCAATTGGCTGCCGCGTTCGCCCACAAATATACAGTCAATTCACTTTACAGTGTGTTCTGTGAAGCGCTTTGGGATGTCCTCCCGACGTGAAAAGCGCTATATCAAATGCAAGGATTATTATGATTATTATTATAGGGACAGTGTAGACAGAGAGAGCTTTATAATAGTAATAATTACAAGCCTTGCCTTTGATGTAGCGCCGTATCGCTTAGTGGAGATGTCTCAAAGCACTTCACGGGATACATGTAAATTGGAGTGACTGTATTTTGTGGGTCAACCTTATTCTCTATCTAACCTATTCTGTCGCTGACCTGGGAGTGCTGAGCAAACTGGAGAGGGAGCTTTACTCTGTCTCTAACCCGTGCTGTAGTTAAGCGCTGTGGAACACTACTCCGGGTGAAGGGTGCTATATAAATGCAAGTTGTTATTGTTGTTGACCTGGGAGTCTGGACGAACAGTGTAGAGGGAGCTTTACTCTGGCTCTAACGTGTCCTATACCTGCCCTTTAATAACTCTTATCTGCCCCACTAATATTTTCTTCCTGACGGAGTGACAGTGCAGAGTTTCATGGTGGGACATCAAATGATTGACAGCTACCCATGCAGCTCTCCTCCTCGATCTGTCCTCATTCTGTCCCGAAATCCAGACTTATCACAACCATCGCCTTCTCTACTCCAGAATTCCAAGTCTGCAGGACTTCCCTCCTCCCTCACTCTTCCCTCCCTCCTGTACTCTACAGGACTACAGGACTCCCCCCTCTCTCGCTCTTCCTTCAATCCCTCTGACCTGACCACTCCCTCAGTAAAATCAGTAAACGCCAGCCTGATCATACTTCATGCCATCCCTCACATTGTGTCTATGCACCCAGCTCGATTGATCAGTCAGCAGTTAAGAGATTGTTGTAAAGAACGATTTGGGTTTGTCTTGTGTCTTCCCCGAGAGAGACAGAGAGAGGTTGTGGGGGGGGGGGGGGGGGGGGTTGCAGCTGGGATGGGTGGGGAGGGAGGAAAAGGGAGGGAGAGGTGATGGATGTCTCACTGAATTTCAAGTGATTGCCTGGCAGGTAACACATGCAATGCAGTTGGTGAGATAGATTGCACAGCATCTTCTAACATACAGCCGGATCTCCCGAGAATGGAGTTAATCGGGTCTGACTGCGGAGACTAGAAATACAGTGTCACTCAACACTGGAATTAAGTATTTCATTGTCTGGCCAGTGACCCTGATCTCCTACGTTTCAATCCAAGGCTGCTATTAGGTCCCATCGATCAGCTAAACACTCTCGTGCTTTGCTATTGTTCCTGATCACAATGCCGTGCGATTGCTTGTCCAACCCGAGACGCCTGTCATCTCGGCAGTTTTCAAACTGACCAGTAAATTAACATCAATTACGTGTACAGGTCATCGATTGGGCTGCAGTTACCCTACCATTACCTTGTTCCCTTCTCACCACCAAACATGCTTTTGTTGCTGAGACAACAAGGAGCTCACAAGGTACCCGCCTGCCATCAACTTAGATCGGGCTCAGACCTGCACTTGTCAGATGTCAAATGTCCGACGAGTGATTATCCTCCTTAAACGGGCAGAGGTGGGGGTGGTGGGTGGGGGGATGGGGAGGTAATTGAAGGTCTCCCTGGGGTTGAACTGGCTTCAAGGTGACATGCTTTGGCAACAGACTATCGACATTTTCTCGCCCACGAAATATACAGTCAACTTTACAGTGTATCCTGTGAAGCGCTTTGAGACGTCTCGGAGACATGATAAGGCGCTATAACAAATGCAAGGATTATTATTATTATTATTTTTATTATAAATCGAGTCCACCCTCTGTGGAGGTCACAATAGTCTAGTTCCTGAGCACTCGGATGGGCAGACAGATCACTGAGGACAGGGACTCTTCCCACTCAGCTCTTGTTAGCCCTATAAGCCTCATTTATCTACTGTTCAACTACTTTTAGAAATTTATAGACGTGAATCCCCAGATCTCTTTGCTGCTCTACTCCTCGTTGGTTCCTATCATGTGTACAACATCAACAACAAAATTACATGTGTATAGTGCCTGTCACGTCGGAGGATGTCTCAAGGCGCTGAACAGACAGAGTTTTGGACCCGAGCTGGGGGTCGGGGTGGAGGCGGGGGGAGGGCAGGCGGGGGAAGCAGGGGGATCAAAAGCACGATCGAAGAGGAGGGTCTTGAGGTGGGTCTTGAAGGTGTTGAGGGAGGGGGCGAGTCGGAGGGACTGCGGGATGGAGTTCCAGAGGGTGGGGGCAGAGTGGCGGAAGGCTCGCCCGCCGATAGTGGAGTGAGCGAGGCGGGGGACGTGAAGCAGCACAGAGCTCGCTGAGCGGAGGGAGCGAGCAGGATAGTAGGGGGTTAGGAGGTCGGAGGGGTAGGTAGATGGCTTCTTTAGTGAATCACTTTGCATTTTCCTGCATTAAACTTCACTTATCTTCACTTCAGCGCATTGGGACGTCCTCCCGACGTGAAAGGCGCTATACAAATGTAATCTTGTTATTGTTGTTGTTGTTGTGAATTTTCCGTCCTCCAGTCTGATAACCCTGTGTGAAACTATTACCCTTTCAAGTCCTAAGATCCTGTCTCCTCCAATAACTCTGCCAGCTCCTAATAATAACAATAATAATAATAATAATCCTTGCATTTGATATAGCGCTTTTCACGTTGGGAGGACGTCCCAAAGCGCTTCACAGAACACACTGTAAAGTGAATTGACTCTATATTTGTGGGCGAATGCGACAGCCAATTGCGCACAGCAATGTCCCACAAACAGTCGTCGATTGAAAATGACCAATTTATTATTGTTTTTGGTTTTGAAGGGATTATTAGGCTCTGTGTGGAGTAAGGAAACTTGCCCAAGGTTTCGCCCTCTGCCTGGAATTGAACTCAGGTCTCTCACTTGCAAAGCGAGTGCTCTAACCACTGAGCTGCAGGACTCCACAAACGCATATACACCAACACCAACACATTCTAGGTTCAAATCTTGCGAAGGGTATCACTATTGGATTTAAATAATGTGCCATTGAATAAAATCCAGGCACAGTTAAATAAAACTCGTTGAGTCAGTGTTTCTGTCAGTCCTTTTTATGGAAGGATTTTTTATTCTCTGAGAATCAGCGTGTGACTCGCATGTCATCCACTTGCTCTCATGTTATGTAAGGCACCAAACGTATTTAATCTTCTGTCAGCACAAATACATTAAGACTTTTATCGCTTTTAATCTACTTAGAGGGCGAGGGTCAAAATTTAAGCACAAGAGAGCGAGAGAGGAATTCTTGAATGAGTAGCCACGTGTCAGTCTGTCACAAGCATTGAGCCAATCCATACACCTGAACCCATATGACCACTGTGTGTGTGTGTGTGTGTGCTGATGATAGCACAGCTCAGCCTGGCTCATTGGCAGGACATGGAAGGGCAGACCAGTCACTGGGGGCAGGGAATCCTCCCACTCAGCTCCGTTAACCCTGCAGCCAAAGCCCTAATGGGTACGCTGTGCGAAGGGCGCTATATAAATGCAAGTTGTTCTTGTTGTTGGTTTTAGCTGCTTAAACTCCAGCAGTTGCCCCAACCCACACTCTGGGGTCCCGAAGCCTTCGCTCTTGCTAACCTGTGCCTAATACTTTCCAGAATTAGGTAAGCAGGATGT